AAGTAGCCCAATTCCGCGGGAAAACCGCGGACTTGGCAACACTGCTTATGAACCGACCGCAATATAGCGTTTTCTTGTTTACCGCTGTAAACAAATCAAAGTTGGGCTTTATACGGAGAAGAAAATGCCATTGCCATCGAAACTTTTCTCAAGACAGTTCCCTTCAGTTGATACATTAATATAACCCCATAAATGTAATGCATTTTTGTACTTATTTCACTGTTTTTTTTTTCGGGATCTACTGGGACAGTGATAAAGATCTACCAATCGCGATCGACGGGTTGGCGACCACTGGGTTAGAGGGATGAGATGTGTCCATTTGAGCAGTAACATCCTCCTCTCTACACAAGCACACGAACCAGACTGCTACAACCTGCACTGCCAGTCTGCAGGGAAGTATGGGAAGCTTAAAGGACTTCATAGCTTCAAGATTAAGAGCTTAAAAAAGTTCACCTACAAGTATGTGTCAACAAGATACTTGTAGCTGAAAAACAGGGTATAGATAAACATGGTACATGAAGCATAGCTTCTCTTGGACCACAACATGGGGTTGAGCAGTTTGAAATGTCTGATTTTGAAAGATCATAAATTGATTTGAAAATTGAAAGCACCTCAAAATCTGTCAAAACCAACCCGGGGGGGTGGGGATGGTGCAAACAAATACAACACTTTTACAAAGATACGCCTACTGAAAAACATGGGATTTCAATAATAATAATAATAATAATAATAGATTTAAAACTTACAACCAAAACAAAAAAATAAGAAAAAGCTATATAACCTTGAGACATCCATTCATATTCATGGAAGGGAGAGTCACATTGTTGAAAAAAAATAAATACAATTTATTTTGAATGTGAATTTTGCAAAAATAAACTGCAGTTAATTTGGCCTATGATACAGCAAAATTGCTCATAATTGCAAACAGTCTGGGCAGATCTGAAATGAAAAACGTTGCTAACAATAAGCTGCATTAGAATTTTAATTGTTTCCTAAAGCAGTTAAGGATATGGAAGACAATAGAATTCTTTGCATTGTTTAACAATAGCAGCTAGACACTTATCCATAAATATTACAATATTGTTCAAAAGTTTGGGGTCAGTAAGATTTTTTTATTTTTAAGAAACGATACTTTCATTCAGCAAGATGCATTAAACTGATCAAAAGTGACAGTAAAGACTTTTACATTTCAATTTAAAATTTCCATTTCAAATAAACATTATTTTTTTAAATCCATCAAATAATCCTGAAAAAAATGTATCACAGTTTTCACTAAAATATTAAACAGTACAACTGTTTTCTACTTTAAAAAAATAAGAAATGTTTCCAAAATTGTAATAATATTTCACAATATTACAGATTTACTGTAATTTTAATAAAATAAATGCAGCCTTGGTGAGCATAAAAGATTTGCTTGTTTTTTTTTTTTAATTACCAACATTTCTATAGTACTAGTAGTAGTGTCCACAAGCATTAGTTGTTTGGTTGCAATATTTTTGAGTAAAATCCTAAAAGCTATGGAAGCAAATATCCCTTTCTGGCTAAAAGAGTTGACAGATATATTGCCCGAAATGGAAGGGAAACAACAACAAAGCCAAGAAATAAAAGAAACCTAATGGGCTGAAGAGCTTTTGAAAAACTTGGGCTAAAGGTTGAACGTGATAACTGATGGAATGAGAGATGGAGATGTGCCTGTGGATTTATATTTAACCTCTTAAATAAAAAACACACGCTTTAGCTCTGTAAATAGCAGCCATGTGGTCAGGTTTTGTAAGGTTTTCATGCATAAGATCAAGCGATCAACATGTCTCCTCTCCAAGAAACACAGAGCAGAGTCTGGAAGGAGGCCGCACAGAACACTGCTCAGATCAACGTAGCGCAACCTCTTCTGCCTGTTTTACTCAGTCATTCACACATTCCCCTTTGGCTACACTCTGTGAAACTCCACTTGATCTTAACTTCATCCAGCAATGTGTGATTTTTCCATCTGTGCAGCACAATGGAATACCAAAACTGGACAACACAACATCAAATAATGTTTTGAACCCTACTAGCAACATTTCAAGCCCAGGAACGATAAACAAAGCTGGAATTGTTGCAGTCGAGAGCTGCTTCTTCATTCCACAGTGGGTTTAAAAAGTGATGCAGGATGTCAGTGACTGGGAGAGAGGAGCTCAGACAATTATGAAAGACAAAGGGCAATAGAAGCTTCAGGAATGTGAAACAGGAACAGATGCAAATAGCCAGATTGGATGTTTTATAAGGATCAAAAAACCCAAGTGACCTTGTGCATCCAAATTCTTGCTCTATCTCAGTCTCCAATTCTCCAGATGGACCGCTTCATAAAGACAATGTTCACTGCCAAAATTCCCCAGGAGTTTACAGGGAAGAAAACGAGAGGAGAGACAAAAGAAGCTGAAGTCCTGAGGGGGAGGGGAATGCCATCCGTGTACGTATGTGTGCATATTTATTTTGTTACAGGTCCACCAAACTTACACCTCCAAATATACATCACCATTCAAAAGTCTAAATTCTAAATTATGTTTTGTATTGTAAAAATCTTGATAACAGTGGATCACAGAGAACAGTACAAAATAATAAAAAGGCAGTTCATGAACCGTTTAAGCAGTTTTTAACATCAATAAAAACACGACATGTTTCTTCAGCACCAAATCAGCATATTAGAATGATTTCTGAAAAATCACATGGCAGACTGGAGTAATGGCTGCTGAAAATATAAAATATATTACAATAAAAAGTTATTTTAAGTTGTAATATTTCACAATATTACTGTTTTTATTGATAAAATAAGAGACTTTCAATAATATTTTTTAAAAATCGTACAAACTCTCCGTCTAATAAAACATTCACATTTTGGCCGCTTGAGTTCACAAGGCCGAGGACCAAAATTCTTGCATTGCCCACATATTCGCTCCTGGTTGCCAGCAGATGTTCCCATTTACATTTACTCTCAAATCACCAGAATAAATCATTCTAATCAGAGTAAGTGATGATGAATGTTGTTTTCTTGTCTGAGAATCAACCATTTTCTGAGAAAAATACAAAACTCAAACTCTCACTCCAAGGAATTCATCATCCTTCAAAGTTGCAATGTGTCATAAAATACTGATCATTTTCCTAGTTGTACACCTCAAAGCCCTGAGTTACGACTTCAATCACGAGCAAGGGGGGTCGTTGCAGGCGGGCATGAATTGCGGTGTGTGCCCTCCAAAGGATCTGGAAGACTGTGAAGCATGCGAGCACACTGTGTAAACACAGTGCAATGAATTTCAGATGTGTGCCAGTTGCCCTCTCTGTTCACTTCAGCCTTCACACTCGTGCTCATTCTCTAGTATGGCGAATTACCACACATTGGTAAACAACAAAAGCATGGTGCATATGGAAAGTCTTTCATTCCTTAACACTGCTGCAAAGGGCTTGGATGATTTCTATTGTATAGAAGCACTTCTTTTTATCAGTGTTGAAAACAGTTAACACTTTAAATTAACACTGCTTCATATTTTTGTGAAAACGGCTGATACTTCTAGATTCTTCTAGAAAGTTCAAAAGAACAGCATTTACTTAAAATAGAAATCTTTTGTAACATTTTAATTTAAATGTCTTTACTGTCGCTTTTGGTCAATTAAATGCATCCTTGTTTAATAAAAGCATTAATTCCTTTTAAAAATATATCTTACTGACCCCAAACTTTTTGAACAGTAGTGTCTGAAGTCGCAATTTTACAGGCACAATTACAAGTAAATACATAATTGTGAAAATAATATAAAGTTGCAATTACGAGAAATATTCGCAATTGTGAGATATAAAAATAATAATTACTAGAAATAAAGGAGCAGTAATTTTGAGGTATAAAAGCACATTGTGAGATATAAAGACACAATTATGTGGAAATAAACTGAGAGATATAGTTAAAATGACCTTTTTTTCTTTTTCTTTTTTTAACTCCGAGGCAAAAACATAATTTGATCTTATAAATGAGGGTTTGCAGATATCAAATCAGTGAGAACAGCATAGAGACGTGCACTAACCTGCTCATGGTACTCGATGCCCATGCTGAGTGTGTTAATGAGAATGGCGATCATTATTCCTCGTCCAAAGTACTTGCTATCCACAATCTTACGGAACGTGTCGCACACCAGCCTCCAGAAATGGACCACCTTTGCTGCCCGAGCTCCTAATGCAAACAGCTTCTTCTTCCTGTTGGGATCTCTGCTGTCCTGATAATGGGCATCCTGTGTGAACTCGTACACGCCCTCACTGTCAGAGTCTGCCGTCTCATTCCCATCCACTCCCTCAGAGTCGTTGGTCATCGCTTTGGCGCAATACGGACATGTCTCAGGGTCAAAGGTCAAAGTTGTGTCTAAGTTTGTGCCACTGCAATTCATGAGCGCATCCTTAAAGATGATCTTGCCTGAAATGTATAAGAAAAAGCACATGATGCATAGACAAATGTCTATTTCTCTCTTTTTTTTAAATTTGTTTTCCAATATTCAGCTACTATGTCAAAGTAAATGACAATTTTACAAAAGCAAAACGTATTTTATTATAGTGTACAGTTCGCACAGTATATATAAATAAAATAAATATAACAAAATAAATATAATAAAATAATTATTTATCTATACAATTTTTTTTTTTAACTACCATTTTAATTGTAAGGTGTATTGTAATAGTAAGTATGAGTAAGTAATAGTGTGTGTTTGTAAAGTTTTTCGATTTTTTTCCAATTGTTTTCAATTGAAAAGTTTTTCAATTTTTAAAAGTAAATTTCAATTATTTAAATAAAAAAATGCTTTAATATATTTTAATATTTTAAGAATGTAATACATTTATTCATTTGTTATGAAAAAAACTTAATTTTTTTGTATGAAAAAAATCTAATCATTTCACTTAATTAGTATATAAGTCTCTATCTAAATTATCGAATAGATATTTCAGGGTTGAATTTCTAGCAAAAGCAACTATAATACATCGTGTAACCATGATGGTATGAACAAAACACAACATAAAAATATATAAAATTACTAATTTTGTTCATACTGCCCAGCCCTACTCTCAACTCTTGTGTTTCACACATCCAGCTGTTAAATTTCATGAATTTTTGAATTTCAGCTCAAGTAACTCCATTAAAATCCATTTACCAGGAGGACCTTGCGTCTCCACCAGACACTGTGAGGTGTTGATGGGAGTTGGGGGGATGTTTAGGTTGGTAAGGACACTAGCAGTGCAACTGGCTCCTCCTGGCTCCAGGATTCTCTGTCTGAGCTGCTCTAAGGCCAGAGATGACTGTAACGTGGGGTAGTTCTTATGTACTGGAGCCGCAAATGGCACTGAGTTCCTCTTGTATGCCTGAAACACCATGGGAGAAGGTGAGGGGCTGCAGCGCAGAGACTCAAGGTGGCCCGCAGTCTGATAAACACTATGCACTGATTCTGCACCACTGGGGCCCAGAGTCCCACAAAAGGGCTCCTGCTGAGGGACAATGACAGGTAGCATGAGATGCCCAGAGTTGTTGGCATTGGCACTTTGGGAACTCTGGTTGTCCCCCTCTCTGCCCACATCGGTTCGGACACTCCCATTGCCCAGATGGTAGTGATGGTGGAGGTGATGATGATGGTGCATGACGGGACGGATGGATCCCTGGCGCTGCTTCTGATGCCGTCTTTTCGTGGGCGGTGGTTCCAGCGGCGGAGAAGCACAGATCCGCAGGCCTGCACGGCGCCCAACAGCCCGGATGAGGAGGCCAATTTGCCTGGTGCCTTTGCGGATGATGTGAACTAGGTACTTGAGGAGCTCGTCGTAGCAGCTTCCTGGCTCAGAGAAGCTATTCAGGGTGCTGGCATTGGACCTGGAGCGCACTCTCTGCTCCTTCATAAGCTGACTCTCCCGTTGCTTGGTCTCAGAGAACTGTGTCGCTATGACAACTAGACAAAGGTTGATCATGAAGAATGAGCCCACCTGAAAAACAGTGGAGGGAGTGGAGTAGACCATGAACAGAGAGAGCTTCACTGCTCATTAACAACATTGTTACTGTAACAACAAGAAAAGATGGCATGATAAAAATAGCAAGCATACAATCGATGGTTATATTCTGTACTAATAGGATTTGAAATTAACAGATTGGAAGTTCAGAACAATGCCACATTTAAAGGGAAAGTTCGGTCATTATTTACTCACCATCACATCATTCCAAACCTGTATGACTTACTTTCTTCTGTGTAACACAAAATAAAATATTTTGAGAAATGTTTGTGTTTTTTTTTGTTGCTTACAGCTCAAACTGTGAACATAATCAGCCAGCTTCCTCTTCCCCCTCTTCACAATCACTCTGAAACACATCAAGGTCAAGTGGCTGAAGACACTGTCATTACAGCACTGTTAAAATAGAGATCAAATTCACAAGTGTTATTTAACAGAACAATGAACGATCAGGAGAGCATTATTGCAAGCTGTATTTATGCATTACAGATACTGATCAGATCGACAAATTTCGCTTGGCAGACGATAAAAAAGGCGAGTTTCACTAAGCAAACAACCGCTATTGATATATAATAGTGTATATACAGTAACAGAAAAAAACAGCAGCATGCACTTAATAAACCTAGCAATACTGTCTGTCTATATTACGCTAATGTAGTTACCGTTACATTTATCTTTATAGTAAGTGTTCTTGATGTTAAAAGGCCTTTATTATGGAGTTATTTCACTCTACTATATAAAAAAAAAAATTTACATTTTATTTTTGGTGTTTGATAGCCAATCAGAATCCACCTGACTTTAAAGTGATGAAGAATTTAAAGCAGCAGACAATATAACTGCAGCTTGCACTTATAATAAACAGAACATTATTGTCTGTTGTGGAAACTAATGTAGTTATTATTACAGTAATCTTTATAGTTATTGTTCTTGGTGTGAACAGACCCAAGTTTAAGTCGAACAGTTTTTGATTACCAATATTCTTCAAAATATCTACTTTTGTGTTCCACAGAGAAAGTCATACAGGTTTCGAAAGACATGACATTGAGTAAATCAAGTCAACTTAAAGGGTTAGTTCACCCAAAAATGAAAATTAGCCCATGAATTACTCACCCTCAAGGCATCCTAGGTGTATATGACTTTCTTCTTTCAGACGAATCCAGTCGGAGCTAAATAAAAAATTGTCTTTGATCTTCCAAGCTGTTTAATTGCAGTCAGCGGGTGTTGCAGTGCATCAGTCCAAAAGAAGTGAAATAAAGTGCATCCATTCATAATAAAAAGTGTCTCACACGGCTCCGGGGATTGAACAAAGGCCTCCTGTAGCGAATCACTTTAGTATATCACTTTAATATAACTTGCGCCAACAGTTGTTCACGGAAGCAGCTCCGGGAAGATGCCGTATGTAGCAAATTAGCTCAAAAGTAAGAAGTACACGTAAGATGTCGGCGTTGCGCAACCAACGTTTGTTAACAAGAGCAAATACTTACTTTAGCAAAGGAAAACCAGTCTCCTCTTGGCTTATATCGAAATCCTCCGACATTCTTCTTTACAAATCCTCGTTTTGTACTTCTAATTAGTGACCGTTGTTTTGTTTTGATCTCTCCGCTGCGCTTCTGCATTCGTCACTTCTGAGCAGCGCATGTGCAACGCCTACCTCATGCATCATCTGCCCGGAACTGCTTCCGTGTACAACTGTTGGCGCAAGCTAGATTAAAGTGATTATTACGATTTGAATATGGACTTTTTTTTATGGAAGGGTGCTTTTTATTTCATGTCTTTTGGACTGAAGCAATGCAACACCCGCTGAATACAACGATAGAGCTTGAAAGATCAAAGACAATTTTTAAAATAACTCTGACTGGATTCGTCTGAAAGAAGAAATCATTTTTGGGTCAACTAACCCTTTAAGTCAAATTTACTTGTATAGTGATTTTCACAATAGACATTGTTTCAAAGCAGCTTTACAGAAAATCATGATGTCGATGTTTATAATATTTTAATATCTTCATGATTTATAGTCAAATTTAGCAGATTAGAGCTGGGTATAATAATATACAGTAGCTTACACTTTCGACGATATAAGCAATCAAGCCTTTGAGACCTGCTGTAAATACACATGCTTATACAACTTTATATAAAGAGCTGGGTGATAATATAGTTATATTCTGCAACGAAATAAAAGTCAAGCAGTTGAGATTTGCTATAAAGTATATATCACTTCACATGAGTATACTGTACATATACGGATAAAGTTGGATATGATATACTGTATATCCAACATTATATATGAATCTGTGTGACAATGAAGTTTACATCTGTCAACTATGACAGAAAATGATGACAGAATTTTGATTTTTGGCTGAACTATCCCTTTAAATACCCCTAAATGCATCTCCTGGACAGATTTAAAACATCTTGACAATAATCCATTTCCTAGGCTAAACAAAACATGATTCACAGTATGTTATTGACATTGCAACTACAATTGTTTTTTAAAAAACATGGTCATTTCAAAAATATTTAAAATATGATTCTCTTGTCTTTGTCCTGTGAGCTGTCTAAGCCTGTCTGACACATCAGAGCCAGTATAAGGCAGTCTGTCTGGTCGGTGACGGTTCAGGTAATGCTCTCATAAACGTGTCCAGGTCTGCCCAGCTCAGCCCAAAGCCACTCACTATTATCAGGAGGATGAAGTAGATGAAATTGTAGAAGGAGTGAGCATCCATAACAAAGTACATGATGTCCACCCAGCCCTCCAGAGTAATAACCTACAGGAAAGAACAAAAGGAGAGGGATTCAGTGCAGCTTATGTCTCTTATTCACATAAGAGACAGTTTATATAAGGCATTATTTTTATATAAAACTATTTTAGGAAACTCTTGCATTCTAGATAACGACATCAATCCAAAGCATGAAAAAAAACATACCGATACTAATTTCAATACAGTGACAGACATGTAAACTAAAAGCATAAGTAATCTCTGATTATATGCTTCTGTGATCAGTTTTTGGTTCTGTACTCAATCATGCATGATGAGGTAGACAGTACAGATATCGTGTGCTCAAGGGGGACACCCTACCCAGCATGCACTCTTCAATCCCTTTGATTAATCTGTCACAGATTAGGGAGAAATGGAGAAAGGCAAAACCGGAAAGGAAAGACATTTTGCTTGCTATTTACAGGGCAATTGGGTGTGCCAGCAGGATGAAGGGCTGTCAGACAGCTAATTCATTTTTAGACACTAAAAATTAAGCGTCAAGCCACAGAATTGACCGGTTGCAAAAGGATTAAGTCATCGGGCCATTCTGCAGTTCAGTACATAACAGTCTCCTAAATATTTAATAGAAATGTATTTTGGTGTGTTGTAAACATATGAAAAGTTCAAGTTTAATTCAATTTGAGATTAAAACCATTAGGCCCATATTGTCAGACACAGAAGAATTAAAACCTTATCACCCTTTTTGTGATAAAATAGCACAGAATAGGAATTAATAGAGCCCGCTGATCCCTGCAATTGTCTCCATGCCAGACTCTAAAAAGGCTAATCCAAAATCCCAGGACAAATGGGCTTTGTTATTTAAACACATTGTCAAGTATTTAAGATATCACTGAATGGGCAGGGAAACTGAGGTAAGCACATTTGGGTTCATGATAGTAATTTTAGTATTAGTTTGGATCAGTTTCATCAGAATTTTGGTGTAAAGCCATATCTTTACAGTAAAATGCAGGGATGCACCTAGTAGGGATAACCTATTTTTTATATTTATACATAAATTATCATCATCTTATGGCCAATATTAAAATTATTTTTCTATTTTGTAAATCAATCAATTAAATAAATAAATACAATTTAAATGCTACAAGTGAATTTAGGCATCACAACATTTCAATGTACAGTATGTAAAACAGCATTATTTTTGAGATTAGTGTTATTAAATTATTAGCATTTTTAAAGATTAAGCGTTAGATGATGAAAGTGGTAAAATAAATGTAAAAATAGTAGAAATGAGCATGCATAATTATATATATATATATATATATATATATATATATATTATGGCAACAATATTTTGTGCATCCTTACTAAACTGTCATTCTAAGGCATTGAAAGTATTTTTATAGGTCTTGGTATAAGTCTTCACAGAATCTGCAATAAAAGAAGACATAAAACTGACCTGAAAGATGGCAATCCAGGCATAACCAATGTTGTCAAAGTTTATGGCCCCCTTGAAGGGATTGGCCTCTCCGGCAGAGCAGTTGGTGTAATACTTGTTCCAGTTGACGCAGGTGGTGTTGTCTGTGCTATTGTAAGATGCCATGTCCAGCTGGCACTGCCGGCCCTCTTTGTGGAGCGTGGGGATGGAGGTGCATAGACGCACGCCATTCTCCCGTGGTTGAGAACAGATAAACGGGTTTTCATCATAATTTTCTGTGTGGTAGTAGTTGTGCAGGTCTAGACTGGTAGGCCTGTAGAAAGGATAAAATAAGAATTACTTCCTAAAATGATAGTTTACCTGTTTTACTGTAGATTTGAAACTCCCAGTCTAACACCCCACACCCGCTCTGAACATCT